GTACTCACTTTTGTGGCCAGCGGTTTAGACATTAATGGCTGTGTGTTGAGTTATTTTGAGGGGACAGCAAATTTACACTGTTATACAAGCTGTACACTCACTACTTTACATTGTAGCAAAGTGTCATTTCTTCAGTGTTGTCACATGAAAAGATATAATAAAATATTTACAAAAATGTGAGGGGTGTACTCACTTCTGTGAGATATATATATATGAGCAATATCACTCGAGTACGAGAGCGATACCGGCTCTATATCAGCATGGCTGTGATTAGGCCAGAGCATCACAGCCGCTGATATAGTGCCGGTATCACTCTCGTACTCAAGTGATATTGCGTTTATACAACAGTTCAACGGAACATGTGTGTAATTAAACAAGAAACAACGGAGTGCCTAATAAAACCCTCTTTTGTGCGGAACTACTTCCTTCCGCCACGGATTTCCTTCTGCCACGGATTCAAAGCTCAAGTTGACAGTTAAACATACGTCACTTTTATAATTCGTATCAAGGGCATGTGCTACTTCAGTTAGGTTATTAGTGAGAAATAATGAGGTTATAAGAGAGAAACATTGCGGCAAGACGTGCATCCAAATGAGAGAGAGAGAGACCGTGAAGGTAGACGTTTCTTCTTATGTTAACTAAATATTAACTATTTACAGTTAAATAGTTTACAGACATCACATCAGCTAGTTATTAGGTTGTTTTGGCTGTTATTTCTTTAAGAGCTGCCGCTGCTGAACGTGACGCGGATCTGACACGCATCATATTTTCTCTCAACTCTTTTTACCTTTTCTAACCCACTTCAGGTCTTAAAGTCTCTATTAATGAGCTGACGAGTTCAATCGGGTGTGTTAGATGAGTGAGACAGTGCTGGGCTGCTCGGGGACAGATTTGAAAACCATTTCAGAGACATGTGACTCATATAAAATATATTACATGCATGCACAGTTTTAAGGCAGCTTTAATCGCCTTTCTGGTAACTTCATGACTTAGCTGACCACGACATTGCATGCACGTAGATTATTTCGCTCTTTGATATGAAATGATGAAGGCTACAGTGCGCGCCGGTGTCTTTGTGCGTGCAATTGTAGCGCTGCGAGAACAGTACCGTTTCCGTGCTCGTTTGACTCGAGCCTGGCGCTGAAGTGAAGTTGGAGCGCGCGTCTGAAACGTCTCCAGTTTGATGTTTGATGTGATCGTACAGATTAATAATTATTAATATTTATATATTAATAATTATTAATATAATATATATATTACCGTAATATAATATATATTTATATATTTATTTATCATATAATATGCATTTGCATATTATGCATATAAATACGTATACAATGTAGGCTACATCATTTTACTAGTATAAAATCAAATATTTTGCTGAATCTGGTACTTTATAAAAGCTAAATTAGATTTACATTCACATTACTTCTGAAACAATATACCAAATGACTAAATAATTATGAGCATCTTACCTATTTGCGTTGTTGTCTATGGTAAAGCAACCTATTATCCATGTTAAGAGGAGCGGATCCAGCGAGAGCTTGATAGGGCGACGCAGAATGTAAACGTTTTTCAGGAGTCGCGGCAGTAGAGGCGGAGCAACTATAATGACATGTGAATAATCCCGCCCACTCTAAAGCGATATTGTTTCGAAAAATGTGCCAAAGCAATTGAGAAAAACTGTATTATAGATTTTATTAATATTTTTAATAAGCTTTTATTTTTATATTTTCAGTTTTCATTTTAATTTACTTTTTTTTTCTAAATTTCATTTGATCTTTTTTATATTATTACTTAGTTTTTTTTTTTTTTCAGTTTTAGTTTGTTCTGTTTCAGTTTTTGTTTATTTCCAGTTAGTAATTTTAGTGTTTTTAGTACATAAACTAAAAGGACATTTTAAAAAATGCTGCCTTGGCCACTAATCGAAATTAGTTTTATTTCAGGCTTACTTCAATGATTAAAAAAGTAATACTTTAATCTAGTTAATGATAATAACCCTGTTTAGCATTTTTATATTATTACTTACTTTTTGTTTTTTTTCAGTTTTAGTTTGTTCTGTTTCAGTTTTTGTTTATTTCCAGTTAGTAATTTTAGTGTTTTTAGTACATAAACTAAAAGGACATTTTAAAAAATGCTGCCTTGGCCACTAATCGAAATTAGTTTTATTTCAGGCTTACTTCAATGATTAAAAAAGTAATACTTTAATCTAGTTAATGATAATAACCCTGTTTAGCATTTTTGTAAAATCCCGCTATTTGATTAAAAAAGATGTGAACCACCGTGAAAGTTTTTGTATTTTTTTATCCTGATCAAAGCTCAAGAAGCTAAATTCATGATATTCATGTGAGATTTTATTGCTGCATGTTTTGTTGAAATGCAATCTTGACAATTAAAAGTTGTGATTCAAGCAGATCCGAGCTGTGTTTGTGTGAATGGAGTACCATCTTTCCTGACGTCTGCGGGGATGTTGGTGATGTTCAAGTCTTCGATGTCCAGCTGCCAGAGGTTGGAGAGCTGCCCGAGCTCAATAGGAAGCTCCTGGATACCTGGATTACTGCAGAAACAGGGAGGATTAACATCAAAGCTACGGAAGTCCAAACACAACATCATCACATCCTGAGAGTTTCTCAAGCAGGAAGCAGGAGAGATGAACAAGCCCTTTTGATATTGCATATTAGTTTGACTTTTGCAACTCTTGACTGTGAAAACCCTGAATCACGCACTGTGATTGTTGGGCTCTGCTCCAAAACCTAGTGCAACGCCTTGCTGTTTAACTGAACTTTAACCTCTTAAGTGACTGAACTGTAGCTCAACCTAGTCAGCAACTCTGTGCATTACACAAATAGGGTTTGTCACAAAACACACAGGAGACTTGGCTTGCAATTGATTTCAGCAGTTTGGGATTAACATGTTGCTTAGATTATATCTAGTAAACAAAACAGAGAAATTTAAAATAAAGCAATAAGCCCCAAGAATCCATGGTTTACAGTGAATTTATAACCGCTAAGGGGCGTTGTTCATGTCGTGCCTAAAACCCCCTTAGCTGTTATAAATTCACTGTAAACCACGGCTTCAGGGGGCTTGTTGCTTTTATAAAACGGTTATTCCATATACGTAGTTAGGTTTCACAAAATAAAACAGAGCAAATAAAGTGTAATGATATGAATAAAAACAGTATTCTTCCACCAAACAAACTTTTATGCTGCACAAACTACATTTCCCATGATTCCCTGCGACTCACTTGGACAGATAGAGTTCGGAGAGGTTCTTGAGGGCACACACTGACGGCGGCACACACTCCAGCTGGTTGTCATTCAGGAAGAGAACTTCCAGAGAATCCCGCAAGATTACAGGAAACTGAATGGGACAAACTGCCAAAACAGAGCCAGAGGAGATGAGAAGCTAGCCCGAAACCACATAATGCAGAATTAAAATCCCTGCAGACTAATGGATGATCACTGATGACCGTGGCAGCAACACTCGTTACTCTACTGAAGGCCTACTATGAGACATAGAATAAAGCAATAAGCCTCGTGAAGCCGTGGTTTACAGTGAATTTATAACAGCTAAGGGGCTGTTATAAATTCACTGTAAACCATGGCTTCACGAGGCTTATTGCTTTTATAAAACCAATAATGGTTATTCCATATACATAGTAACATTATTCTTCCGCCAAACAATGTAGTTCCTCAGAATCAGTTGTGGTTCCAACAAAGTGGTTGCCGAGCAACACACAAATGTAAACAAAGGTGTATGTTTGTAGAGTAATTTACAACAGCTTCGAACGTGGCTCAGCCAATCAGAATCAAGGACCGGGACTATCTGTTTTATAAATGTGCCCATATTTGCACGGTTCTGCATTATCTCGCAAAAATACTTTTCTTTTAGTTTGTTTGTTTGCTTCCACAAAGTGACCAAAAAAGGATATAATATAATCTTTGCAGAGAAGGCAATTCCATAATGCACAATACAGAAAAAGCATCTGAACCTAAAATGAACTATTTTACCTCTATTTGATCTATTTCTATGCTTATTTGAGTTTCACAGCATTAGCATTTTCCAAAAGACAAACACAAAAGAAATCAAGAAAACAACAACATAAAACAAAACAAAATGAAGATAAAAAAATTAAATAAAAATGCCTAATAACACTAAATAATAAAATAAAAATATTTTAATGAATAATAACAATAATTACTATAATAATATTATTATTATTAATAATAATAATCAACAGCAAAAGTTTGGTATCAGTAAGATTATCAGTAATATTTTTGAAAAAAGTCTCATGCTCATTAAGGCTGCATTTATTTGATCAAAAATACAGCAAAAACGGAAATACTGTGAAATATTATTACAATTTAAAATAACTGTTTTCTATGTGAATACATGGTAAAATGTAATTTATTTCTGTGAGTCAAAGCTGAATTTTCAGCATCATTACTCCAGTCTTCAGTGTCACATGATCCTTCAGAAATCATTCTAATATGCTGATTTTAATATGTTTAACATTTCTGATTATCATCAATGTTCGAAACAGCTTAATATTTTGTGGAAACAGTGATACATTTTTGTTCATGATTCTTTGATGAATAGATGTTCAAAAGAACAGCATTTATTTGAAACTTAAATCCATTTTGCAACATTATAAATGTCTTTACTGTCTTTCTTGATCAATGTAATGCATCTTTGCCAAATAAAAATATCAATTTCTTTTTGTTGAAATGCTAGCAAAACTGACAGTGAGCGCCCATCCTTATTGCCTAAAAACATGAGTCAGACGTTTGGATCCGTCTGAAAGGGTTTAGTTTAGATTCTGATGCCATTACTAAAACAATCCACACTCTTGTCACAGTCTCAACAAAACATGATTACCATGGTGATATTGCTCTGCTTTCTCTGTGGTGAGTTTGGTAATTACAGTGTGAAACTGTGCTGCGTCATGGCAACGTGACCGCAGTGTTTGAGTTACTGTACCTGGCTCTGGGTCCCGTCTGTGCCACGTAGTGAAGAAGGCCAGCTTCCTGGTTTTGGTCGGCTCTCCCGTCCTAAAATAACATTCAGAACACATTCGATTTCAGATATTCACAATCTGTCATTCACAATCTCTATATATAACCACAAGGACCGTGATGATGCATTAGTGATCTGGAAGAGCAATGAAGACTGCATTTTAAAGCTTCATAGATGCACTCCCCCCAAAAAATTTTCCAAAATGTAGGCAACATAATTATGCTGCTTTCTAAGATATGTTTTAGCCAAATTATAAGGCAGCATCACATGTATTCTTTGCAGAGAAGGCAATTCTATAATGTATTATGTGCACAACACAGACCTCGATTTTACCGGTTTCTATGATAATTTAAAATAAAAATAAAAATAAAAATAAAAATACAAATTAAATTAAATTAAAAATAAAATAAGGAAAGCCGCATTAAAATATTTGAAACTAAAATACAAAATAATACAAGAAAATAAGAAAATAATAACAAAATAAATGAAAAATATAAAAATCTAATAAAATAAAAAAATAAATAAAAGCATCAACAAAACAGCATAAAAATAATAAAAAAATTACAAATAACAAAATCTAATAAATAATAAGGCAACAAATTTTTATTATTATTACTACAATTATTATTGCTATTGATAATAATAATAATAATAATAATAATAATATTAAAACATAGAGAAAGACAAAGATTGACAATGGAATGAGTTTGGAGTGAACAGAGAAACCAATTGCAGTCCAATCAGGATAAATGGCCTCAAAAGTGCTTCAAAAACTCCAGGAAAAATTATAACTTGGATATCAAACCACAGAATGACTATGACTCTGCTAAAGTACAGAGTTAGAGGAAGATTAGAGGAGTTCAGCTGCAAAAAATATCACAGAAATATTCAAAAATGGATCAAGATCTGACGATGGAGAACAGATAGAAATGGATTTGTGTAGTTACAGGAATGAATCCAGCGTTTTCATCTCACTTGATTTGTTTCGTGAGTATTTTTGTCTCCGACTGCAGAAAATCTGAAACATTTCCATCTGAAATTGTACGATGCATTAGTGACCTTGCGTTGTTATGACAACCCGCTTTATTAGACTAATTATGAAGTGGAGGATGGCGGGCTGGTCGTACAGGAAAGAGAATCTGCTAACCTTGAATATTGAATGATGAAGCCCTGGAAGTAAAAGCGTGTGGGAGTGTTTTCCAGTCTCACAATCATCTGCCAAATCAGCCTTTATACTAACGACACTTTAATTAGTGAAAAACGACAGCTGTGATGATTCTGTCCGCTTTCAAAGGTTGAAGTTATAGTTCACTCCAAATGAAAATGCAGTCAGAAAAAAAACAGCATATGGGTTTGGAAAGAGTTTTTGGCTGAACTCTTGCTTCAAAAAGTTTGAAGGAAGTCTCTCTGTTGAATGAAACTGCAGAATCAAGCGATTAGACTAGACCGCCATTAATTAGCGGAGTATCTGCTGTGCGGTTCACTTTCATTTCTCATTTCTCACTCTAATTGTATCAAAGCCTATAAGCAGAAATAGTCAAAATATTATGTGATAACAGCAGCACAGAGCGGGGTCGAGCAGATGAAAGCACACCATCGTGTCAAATTATTCAAATAAACATCCACAGACTCGGCACTATTACAGCTGGAAATACACCACTAAATCATCATTAGTGCAGCAAAATCAAGCTTAGCATGAAAGCTACGCATCTGATGTATACACAGAGTGATTCATAGAAAATACTTGCATAATGTTTACTTTATACTGCACTATATATACTGTACACTGGCCAGTGCTAACTAAAACTGAAAATAAATAATCAAATTAAATTAGAAATGTTGTTTTGACAACTAACTGGAATAAATAAGTTGAAGCCGAAGTATTAAAATTACAATGGCAAAAAAGTACATAAAATTACTAAAACTTACTAAACTAACTAAAATAACAGCTAAATACATTAATTAAGATATTTTAGAAATAAAAATGAATAAAATAATAAATAATACAATTATTATTAATAATAAAACAACACAATAATAAACTAAATATTACTAACAACAACAATAATAATAGTTATTGTTATTATTATTATTAAAAATGCATAAAATAAAAAAAACTAAATATGAACTAAAATACAATATCAACAGAAAATAAAATAAAATAGGGGAATGGTGTTATGACAAACAATTATACATTTAATTAAATTAATGTAAAGCAGCATCACGTATACTTTGCAGAGAAGGCAATCCCTTTATACATAATGTGCAAAGTACAGAAAAAGTATCTAGAAATAGTTCAACATGCATAAAAATAATGACTGTTTGACCTATTTTTATGCTTATTAGTGTTTCACAGGGTTAGTATTGTCCAAAAGAGGTTACTGTTGAAGGCATAATCATGAACAGCCTTCAGATTGGGAGTGTGCTTAAGATGCAGTAAATGCTGCCTATGTAGGGCTCACTGTGTGTGTGTGTGTGTACATTTATGTGTGTGTGTGTACATTTATGTGTGTGTACATTTATGTGTGTGTGTATGTATACATTTATGTGTGTGTGTGTATACATTTATGTGTGTGTGTGTATACATTAATGCGTGTGTGTAGGTGTGTGTGTGTGTGTATACATTTATGTGTGTGTGTAGGTGTGTGTGTGTGTGTGTGTATACATTTATGTGTGTGTGACTAACTACATATTTAATGACGGAATCCCAGCTACATGTGTGTGTGTGTGTGTATACATTTATGTGTGTGTGTAGGTGTGTGTGTGTGTGTGTGTATACATTTATGTGTGTGTGTAGGTGTGTGTGTGTGTGTGTGTATACATGTGTGTGTATACATTTATGTGTGTGTGTGTGTGTGTATACATTTATGTGTGTGTGTAGGTGTGTGAGCATTTGACCTACTTCCCCAGTTGGTTTCTGGACAGGTCTAGAGTTCGCAGACAAGAGCATTTCCATTTGTTTAGAGCGGGCAGAGTGGAGATTTGGTTCCCACACAACTTCAGAGAGACGATGGCCTAAAACACACACAGTGATCTCTGTGACACACACACCTGGAGCCATAAAACATGACGTACACACTGCTACTTAAAGTCATTTGGCAAGTGTGGACTTATTGTTATTAGCACATTATTATTGTCATTAGCACAGATGAGGCGTTTATCTTTTATGTGAAGAGTTTTAGTGCTCCACTGCTGACAAATTATAAAAGACACATGCAGGTTTAGGTTTCTACAATGGATTTAAAGTTAATGCTTTTTATATATATATATTTTATTTGAAGAGTATGTGAAAAGAAATCATGAGGAGTGCGGGAGTGAACTGTCTGCAAACTAATTCAGAGCTTTTTGCAAACCCGTTTGTCAGATTAGATCAAAAGTCAGATTTATTTGTAAATCTGGCCTCAGTTCTGATTCTAAACAGCAGACAGAAAACACACGACATGATTGCTAAAAATATTATTATTATTAATAAAAATATTATATAAAAAATATTAACACCCCTGCTTTATACTCTCAACTGACTACAAATAAAATGTAAAATAAAAATGTAATAAAAAATAACAATTAAATAAAATAAAAAAATTAAACAAAAAGAAAATAAATAAAACAAAATAAGATAAAAATACAAAAAAACAAAATAATAACAACAAAATTAAAAATACAATAAAATAAAATAAAAAACAAAAATAATCAAATAAAAAACAAAACAAGAATAATAAAACAAAAATAAAAAAAAAACAATAAAATAAAATAAAAAGAATAACAGCACAGCTTCCCCCAAGCGGCATGATTAATGAATCATTCATGTCTGTAACACAAACTATGTGATGATTTACACATAAAAGTATTATACATATTATACGTACATGTCTAAATACACCACATCTCTCTGTTTGTGTGTGAGATCATCGCCAAACTGCCGTTTGCTTCTTCCTTACACGCTTTCTTAAGCTCTCTAGTTTGCAATCTCTATTTCTCACTCTGCCGTTGGCTTTGTGTTGACATCTTGCCAGTTAACTTGCGAAACTGACAGTGAAGTTAATGAAAACTCAACTATAAAATCCCGTCTGAGCTGCTCTGCCGTACATTTGTAAACACTTCACAACACACTCGGAGCCTTTCAGGCTTATTTGTGTAAAAAACTAGTCTTATTAAAGCTGAAGTTTTTCCTGATTCACTGCTGTCTATCATGAGGAGATACAGAGAGAAACTCACGATCGCTCAGACGTGCTACAGGAGACGTTTACTGTGAGCACAGCGCCACCATGAGCTCAAGAAACCTGAGGGCTCTTAGTTCAAACACAAAATACACAACTCCATAAAAAATATAATTAAAGGATCTGACCAGGAGCAATTTTAGTTGGAGGATCTTACAAAACCGGCGAAAAACACACCTGATGAGCATATTTCACAATACTGTATTTCTAAAGTAAGAAATTACATTTTGTTGATATGCATATTTGCATTTTTTTCTTACACTGACATTATTTTCAAGACAACTTCAGAAGATTTCCTCCCATAAATTCTCATTACCACAATGCAAAAAATTATGCATTAATTAAAATATAAAGTATTGTTTATGCTGATTTAAATACATTTTAAAAACTTTGTTAGAAGTTAAAATGTTATTTTGTTTTTTAATAAAGTATTTTAATTAAAATAATTGTTTATTTTTTAATTATAAAAATAATTTATTAATAATAATACTAATAATAATAGCCTTGTTACAGCAATGTGATTAAAGAGAATAATGACATTCAGACTGAGAGTGATGGGCATTAAGAAAAAACCTTTAAAAAGTACAACGTCCAGACATATGCATACTTATTTTTCTTTGGTCAAAACATCATATCTTATTTAATTTCTTGTGATTTCAGCACATTTTCTCCAGCAAACTCTCAGTATGACAATGCAAAAAATAAGATACATCAATTAAAATAAAAAGCATTTTATGCTGATTTAATAAAAAGACTATTTAAAGTATTATATATTAATATTAATATTATTAAAACATTTATTTTAAAAAAATTGTATTATTAAATTATTTTATTATTTACTATTTTATTTAATTACAGTAATGCACACTTGGTTTGATATGGCCTACTAATATCCCATTCTTATTACATTGTATTATGGTCTTGATTATTACTCTGTCTTCAGAATGTTTATCTGTCATTCCTTTTGGTTTTAAATTCATATGTTTTATTATTTATGTTTTATGTGTTTATGGCTTGATTTTAATGTACAACACTTTGGTCAGTCTTGTGGTTGTTTTTAAATGTGCTTTATAAATAAATGAACTTGAACTAATGCGATTAATGAGAATAATAAAATTGAGATTATTGACAAAATTATTTGCCCATTTAGGGGGGGGGAGACGTTACAGTACCACATCCAGACAAATGCGTAAATTACTTTCTTTGGTTAAAAAAAAAAAGCTATCTTATTTCATTTCTTGTGATTTGAGCACATTTCCTCCTGTTCCTTACCTCCAGCTCAAATATGTACGAGGGCAGCTCCTTCAGGACGTTCTCGGAGATGTCCACCTCCCTCAGATGAGTCTTCCAGAAGATGGAGATGGTGTCAGGAAGAAACGCAATCTGGTTGTTTGAAGCTTTGCAGATTTTCTGAGTGAAACATCTCTGATTATCATCATTTGCTAGCAAAAAGTAAATATGCCATTCATTTAACCCAAAATTCAACATGGTCATCAACACATGAAACATTCATGCATGCAATATGCTTCCTAAGTTTCCTGTGATTGTTACCCCAGCACAAATGTACCTTTTCAGTTGCATATTTTATTATTTTATTTTAAGTAATTTGGTCCTCCAAAAATTGCAAACTTGTCAATGTTTTATAAGTAATATACTTCGTTATGGCCCTCCATTTAAAAACCTGTAGCTAAAATAAAGCAATAAGCCCCAAGAAGCCGTGGTTTACAGTGAATTTATAACAGCTAAGTGGCGTGCCTAACAACGCCCCTTAACTGTTATAAATTCACTGTAAACGCTTATTGCTTTTATAAAACGGTTATTCCATATGAATAAAAACAGTATTCTTCCACCAAACTATGTAGTTCCTCAGAATCAGTTGTGGTTGCAACAAAGTGGTTGCCGAGCAACACACAGAAGTAAACAAAGGTGTATGTTTGTTGAGTAATTTACAACAGCTTCGAACTTGGCTCAGCCAATCAGAATCAAGGACCAGAACTCTCTGTTTTATAATACTGAAGGAAGTTGTGCCTGTGCCGGTGACCCACCAGAGGACAGGCCCAGGGGTCGGGGAAGCTGCTGAGCTTGTTTCTGCTGATGTTCAGAGAGCTGAGGGCCTTCAGACAGTGCAGGACAGAGGAGGGCAGCTCCGGCAGGCCGTTGTCGGACACATCCAGCTCTTGCAGCTTACGCAGGCCGATCCAGTTCGTGCCTGCAGCAGAACCAGCGCCAGCTGTTAGATCTGTGATGACCACCGCTTTAAAACTGAGCAACCGTGTGCATTTACATTTGTGCATTTAGCATAAAAAAATGTTAAAACATTTTTTTTTATAAAATTTAATTATGTATTATTACTAGTATTAATTAATGCGTTTTAATTAATATATATAAAATATGACGAAAATATTAATATAATAACTAAAAATGTATACAATTCATTATACACACACAAATATGTGTTTAAACATTTTCTACAAAAAAATTTTAATTAACATTTTTAAAACGTTTATACACACTATTATATATGACCCTGGAGCACAAAAGCAGTCTTAAGTCGCTGGGGTATATTTGTAGCAATAGCCAACAATACATTGTATGGGTCAAAATTATTGATTTTTCTTTTATGCTAAAAACCATCAGCTTTCAGATGCTGTATAAATCTCAATTTTGAAAAATTGACACTTAAGACTGGTAGTCCAGGGTCACATATTTATACATACATACATACATATATACACATATATATACATACATATTAGGGCTGTGCGATTTGGGGGAAAATATCAAATTGCGATTTTTTTTGACAGATATTGCGATTGCGACTTGTTTCAAATGCCCATGGATGTAAAAAAAAAAAAAAAGCAAATTAAAAGTACACATATTCCATGTATTCCTTAAAATAAAATGTTTTTGTTTTAAAGTTTCATGTTACATGTGTAATAATAAAAAAAAAATAAAAAAAAGTTTTCAATTAATTTGGAGTTCAATACATCAATTTCTCAAGTATATCAAATTTTGACCTTAACTACCAAGTAAGAATATTAATAAAATAAAATAAAATAAAATAAAAGCCTGTGCGATTTATCGTAAAGAAAAAGCACCCTTTTTCAAGCAAAACATTTCACATGAAAGACATTTTGGTTTTGAGGTTGGTTTTAAATGGTAAAATGATAGATATACACTTATGCTATTATTTCGACACTTAAACCACACTTCTCTTAAAACTGAAAGCCTGATGAAAGGAAAATAATTTCAGTTAATGAGCAGGAAACCAACATTTTAATGTGAAGTACAGTCCCAGTGTAATAAAGCGGGGCTGAATCGATTCACTGTCATTGAGAAACTTTGTGAAATTGCTGTGAGCGAGCGATGGACCTGATGCACACTACAGGAAACGCTGTCTATAACAGAAGTGTGTGTGTGTGTGTGTGTGTGTGTGTACCATTGGGGATGTTGAAGAGGCTGATGAGTTTGTTTCTGGCTGCAGAAATCCTCTTCAACTGGCCGAGATGAAGCAGACCGAGAGGAAGACACTCCAGCTCATTCTCAGAGACATTCACATGCCATAATCTGCAGAAAACACGGGCAAGAGGAGAGCTGATCACCATCACTAATCTGCAGACGGTTTTCATCTTTTCTGTGCTGATTTTGGGGCAAAGCATTTGGATTTAACACCATAACATGATGACCTGATAAAGAAATGTTTTCTGGTTCCACTTCAGCATGAAATACTAATTAAATCTTAAATTTTTCAATTGCTTCTCCTAGACAGCATTAAGATTGAATGACGACTTGTTTAAGTGTCCTGCTTCTCAGATGTTTCTCCTGAAGATCAGACCTCCTCAGTAATCTCACATCTCTGCTGAAAAAACTAACGACTAAAGCTAGTCCGCCAGCTAAACCAGCACTAGACCGGCATAAACCAGCTCGGGCCATTCATGCTGGTCTTTTCAGCAAGTCTGTCTATCTCCTGTAGAGCTTCAGATCTCAACAAGGTTTAGATATGTTCAGATTATAACGTCCGAGATCTCAGCATGAACCAGTGTTCTTAACTTTAACTAAAACTTAAACTGTTAAAATACTATTATAAAAACCATTATAGAAATATTCAAAATTTTTAATTTTAATAAAACTTTGAAAAATAAATTACATGTAAAACTTCAAACAAAAAAGTAAAATTATTATTATTATTAAATAATAAAATACATTTAAAAACATAAAAATGCTGCTAAATATTAAGTACTACTAATTACTAAAACTGCAATAAAAAATAATAAAGCTAAATAGAAACTCTTTTATAAATAAAAACAAACTAAAATGAATGAGAATGACAAAAGCATAAAAGAAAACACTAAAATTAAAACTGAAAACTTAAAAATAAAAGTAAAATCTAAATATTAATAAATAATATAATAGTATATAAATAATACTAAACTGAAATAATATGTACTGAAAAAATATTTTTTCAGAACGTTTAGGAGAAACATCTGAGACAAAGTTGATACTAAAAGAAAACTGAAAATATAAAAATAAAAGTAAAATCAAAATATTAATAAATAATATAATAGTATATAAATAGTCAAATCTAAATATTAATAAATAATATAATAGTATATAAATAATACCAAAATATTTTTTCAGAACGTTTAGGAGAAACATCTGAGACAAAGTTGATACTTAAAGAAAACATTTTCCAAATCGTTATTATTGGATAACGATTTTTGTTAGTCATATAATAAAGATTGCACTCAAAAAAGTAATTTGGTCTAGCTGAAAATATTTCAGGCAAGAGGATCATGAATGGCTGACTTGACTGACTGATATTCTTGATATTCTTGATATTGTGGATTCTCCATGTCTGAATTGTGTGCAGAAGCTTTACAACATTATTGTTTCTGCTTGCATGTATAGATGTTAATGCTTTGAAATGCTAGTTCTAGTGAAAAGCGCTGTGCAAATAAACGTGAAGTTGAGTTCCGGACCGGCTGCAGATGATCTCCTGCGATGAGGTCGGGGTGGGCAGCTCTCGAAGCTGATTGTGGCACAGGTTGAGCGAGCGCAGATGAATCAGACCCCAGGGCACCACAGACGGCAGTGAGCTCAGACAGTTACGAGACAGATCCAGAACCGTGATCCGAGACGACACGTCCATGAACCAGTCCAGATCCAACCAGGGCAGCTGCAGTCCCGACCAGTCAACGTGCACAGCCTGAGCACGAGGAAGTAAAGATGTGATGATTACACAATCCTCGACTGAAGAAACACATTAATATTGGTCATAATATATTACTACTGTGAACGCTGACAGGACACAAAATGTTTAAACACTAGACTGTGCAGTTTATCAATAATAAAGAAGAATATTATTAAATAAAATATAATATATAATTAATAAAAAAAAATAATACAGAATAACACACACTTACTTGTACAGAATACTATAATATATAATTAATAAAAAATTAACAAAACACAGAATAACATATACATACATAAATTCATTCATTGTATCATACATCTACACATAATTGGGCAATTCAGAATAATAATTTCAGTACCTAAAACATTATTATTATTATTTTTATTATTTAAAAGTATATAATATGATTGAGTTTATTGCCACATCAGCTTCACAGGCTATTTCATGGCAAACAAAGATTATACATTAGAAAAACAATACAGTAGTACACAATACAAAATACAAAAATGAAATAAAGCAATTATAAAACAAAGTTTTGTACATAAAATTCTATAAAAGATTCTTTAAATTTACTTTTGAAAGAAATTGTAAAAGTTTTTCTGGGTCCATCTTATAAAACAAGTCCTTAAGTGTTTGAAAAGTATATAATATAATATAATATCATATAATATCATATCATATCATAAAAGAAAACTAAAAAAAATACAGAAAAACAAATGAATATACATACATACATACATACATACATACTAGTACAATAATATAATATAATATAATATAATATAATATAATATATAATTTTCATTGTGTTATACATCCATATGAAATTATCATGGGTTTATGGGCAAATGATTTTTTTCTTATTCTTATTCTTATTTAAAAGTCTGAATGGGATCCAACAAAATAACAAAACAAAAAGAAAACAAAATAAAGTTAATAACTATGCACAAAAATAAAATACTGTTGTATTGGGTGCTAAAAATCTTTGTGTCTGTAAAGAAATGAAAAGAGTCAATGTAAAAATTCCAACCTCATAAGGAGGAACTGTCCAGGAGGATGTGAAGTGTCCTGTGGCTTCACTTCATTTAAACACACTTCTTGTATCATTTTTTTTTTTTACACATGCTGGTGTTAATAAGCTCAGAATGTAATTGAGTGAATTTAGTTCAACGTAACTGCTTTTATTAATGTTTTTAAGTTTTAAAAACCAATTATGCACACCACAGGAACTCAAAACCAGCTCCTAAAATAAACACTAGTCTCCATTTACTATGTTATTTGTCAGTGTTTATGAATAGGTATTAAGTCTCGTCCTGAATACATTTAAAAAGAGGAACTAGGGCTGACGCTAAAACTTCTGTAAAATGAAGCCGCAGCATTGTTCACGAGTCCAGCGCTGATCTGAAATGAATTGAGCGGGATGCGTCTCACCTGCAGCAGCGTCCCGTCCGCAGGCGCGTCTTTGTCCTGCAGGTGGCGCTGTCTGAGCATCTGCCTGCTGAAGTCTGTGTGATCCATCAGCGTGTACGAGGAGAAACCGGCTCCATTGTTCAGCAGAAAACACCCGATCTCCTTATTTCCTGAGAGGAGAAAACCAGCTTCAGTTAGAGCAGGAAGAGCTTTCACTTATTTCTCCACACCTCCGTGCTGAAAGAGGAACTGAGTGCCATGGAGGAAGTGCATGCGTGTGCTGGAGCAAAGCGGGAAACCTGAACACTGTCAAAAATCCCCCTGCTTTCACTTTTCAGACCCAGTGTGCAGTTCAGGATGAGAAAGCTTGACGAAAGCATTCAGTTCCAGAAAAAAAATAAAAATAAAAATAAAGAGCATTGAGCATTAATCAGTGTACAGCACCATAAGCAAATGACATCCATCATTTTTAACTAATTCAATAAAACCAGACCAAGGTTTCTCAAACTGGGGTTTGTGAGTTGAAAATAAATAAACAAACAAACAAACATCACATAAATAAATACATAAATCAACAATTAATAAATAAATATTAAATAAATAAAAATAGATAATATCAAAATAAAACACTAAAAATATATTAATAATCAACTATTAATATATAAACATATAATAAAATATAAAAATATAGAACAAAAAACAATAAAATAAAACATTTATAAATATATTAAAATAATAAAATATTAATATATATAATAAAAATGTTAAAACAGAATATAAACAGATATAATATAAATATATAGATATAATATAATTGATAACTTTCATGTCAAGTGACCATTAACCAACATAGGAGAACTGCAAACATGCAAACATTTTTGTTAAATTACTGCAATATTAACAGGGTCATTTCAAGTAAATATTTCAGGTCAAATGATTCTGGCAGACAGAATATATTTTATATTTAAAGTTTGTGAATCCCAGTGCTAACCCATTTTAAAGTAACATCAGATCATCTGGATAATTATGTTTACGTAAACATGTATGCATTCGGCAGCCACATTTATCTAAAAAAAAACTGAACATTTTGGTAAGATTTTACATTAGTTATTTCTTAACATTGGCTAAAATCAACTAACAATGAGCAGTAGTACTTTGTTTACAACTTTAATCTTTGTCAGTTAATAAAAATAAATTGTAAGTAACAATAAATGATAAAAATATGTCAGTTAATAAAAATAAATTGTTCATGTTAGTGCATTCATTAAATGTTAACAGCTATCATTTTTTATTTTAAGAATGTATTAATGTTGAAATTAACATTAAGACAAAAGTTGCAGATGTTGTTAAAAAATGTCTTCTTTTTTTTCCCAAAAAGTTCTTCTAAAAGTTTTTTTAAATAAATAATGCAAATAAATAAAATCAATTTGTAATGATCAAAATCAAATGTCTAATCAAGTGAATTCATAAAACTTTATCAATTTAATCATGCATTTAAAACTTAACTAAATTACAATATAACTGTCCCTCACAACAAAACATTGCATTTTTATTTTTTGGTCAAATAAAGAGCTGCACATTATTTGTTTATTATAAATAGTAAATTATTTATCTTTTTTTAAGTTAAACTAAACAATGCCGTTCACATTTTCCCCACTGCAGAAATCACAAGGCCCTATATGGATAACTAACGCTAACAAATGAAACCTTACAGTAAAGTGTTCCCTTGGTTGTTCACACCAAAAGTGACATTAAAAAAAGCATAAAATAAGGAATCGATCCAGAAGCCAATATTTGCTCCTGGTGTGAATTCATATTTAGTCCTTCCCAAACGTCATGCAATATTGTCCTATAGTTGAACAGATATTCTTTGCAGTAATAATGAGCAGTGAATGACGAGTACCTGCCTGCGCGGCGGCGTACAGGGGCAAGCCAGTGATGATAGCAAACTCTCCTGAATGAACCGCGCAGTCCTCGGCGTCAGCATTGTACGTGTGAACCAGCAGCTTCACCACCTCCAGATGACCCTGCTGACACGCCGTAGACAACATCCAGTTCAGCAGATCCTTACGGACACACGGACCTACAGAAAAAGAGAGGCGTTTCAGAAGTGGAGCTAAAATTATTATATACACAATAAACAAGCATTTGTTGTTCTTTGGAAAAACATGCACTGATGAATCCTGTGCAATAAGACACGGAATATGCATTATTGTACTTTGTAGATTAGAACATGTACTCACGCTCAGGCAAAGAAAGCATTCACTTCATTGGATTCCAAAAATTCAATCTGAGCTGTTCTCAGATTTTACTATTTTGCTGAAACTCTCAAATCTCATTTATAGTCAAACTTCTTTAAAGAGATGGTTCGCCCCAAAAAAAACACAACAATCTGTCTTTTACTCACCCTCAGGCCATACAAGATGTACTGTAGATGAGTTTGTTTCTTCATCAGAACAGATTTGGAGAAATCACCAATGGATGCTCTGCAGTGAATGGGTGCCGTCAGAATGAGAGTCCCAACAGCTGATAAAAACATCACAATAATCCACAAGTAATCCACACCACTCCAGTCCAGCAGTTAACATCTCATGAAGTGAAAAGCTGTGTGTTTGTAAGAAACAAATCCATCATTAAGGCGTTTTAACTTAAAACCGTTGCTTTCAGCTAAAATACGAGTCCTCTAACCATAATATTGCTTTCTCCAGTGAAAAAGTCGTCTCATCTGAATCAGGAGAGATATATGCACGGATCAAACACCGAGCATGTTTACATGTACACAAGTAAGCTGATAACTCACAAATATCAGCTTATTAAAATAACCAGTTTTCCCTGCTTTCATGCAAATCAGTAACCTGACAACACAAGAAAGCTGCGTTTATATGACTTTCCCTTTAGTGACGTCAAAATATAATCATTTGCGTATCTGACTCCAAGTATTCCATACATTGTCAGTTGTGATGTTAAATAAAGCTTGCAACATGTCAGCGGGAAACTTACAGCTCATACATTCTCCTCTCATGCAGTTACAAATGCAGCATGGACAGGGAATGGGCTTTTTTACTGGAGGAAACATTATTTTGGACTCGGTAGTGGTGGTTTAAAGTTATAAACGCCATAATTGTGGATTTGTTTTTTTCAAACAGCTTTTCGCTTCACAAGATGTTTATTGATGGACTGGAGTTACTTGTGGATTATTGTGATGTTTTTATCAGATGTTTGGACTCATTCTGACGGCACCCATTCACATTGGTGAGCAAGTGATGTAATGCTACATTTCTCCAAATCTGTTCTGATGAAGAAACAAACTTATCTACATCTTGGGTGGCCTGAAGCGAGTACATTTGTAGCAAATTGTTATTTTTGGGTGAACTATACTGTTAATAAAGTAAATAGGGTGAACTTTGATTTCATTTATAAAACGGATAGTTCCGGTCCTTGATTCTGATTGGTTGAGCCACGTTCGAAGCTGTTGTAAATTGTATAACAGCTAAGCTAAGACGGCTTCGCGTCATGCCTAACAAAGCCCCTTAGCTGTTATAAATTCACTGTAAACCACGGCTTCACGGGGCTTATTGCTTTAGTTGACTTTAAGAAAGTGGATTTGGTTTCCGCTCACGTGGTATGGAGTCCAGCAGCTCTCGGACCAGCACATGATGTCCGTGATGTGCTGCTAGGACGGCAGGGTTTTCTTCGCTGGGATCCTGTGGAACCGTAACTCGTGCTTCCTGCAGCAAGAACCGAACGCCGTCCACGTCACCGTTCTGAGCTGCCAAACACAGCAGCTGCAGCTACACACACAAACACACAGACTGCCTTTAATAAAGCAGCTCAAATTGGTTTAAACCATCCTGTACTGTTAATTGTTCTTAACATAAATGGACTAGATTAGTTAATATTTACAGTAAATATCTGACATGATTTGTTTTTTTGTACTGAAAAATCAGTGGATGGTTTAAAGGGGTCATATGATGTTTTTTTAAAGATCATTATTTGGTGTATTTGGTGTAACAGAATATGGTGACATGCTTTAATGTTCAAAAAACACATTATTTTTCAAATACTGTACATTATTGTAGGTCCTATATGCCCCGCCTCTCTCAAACGAAGCGTTTGAGAGAGGCGGGGCATATAGG